AAGAAGGAGAGAAAGGAAGAGAAATAAAAAAGGGAGATCAAATTAATTAAGGAAGAGTGGGGGGGGGGGGGGGGTAAATTGGGCTAAGTTGGTCTGAGATAAGAGGGAATTGGCTAGTCTATCGACTATGTCGGCTGACTCGAGAAAGTAAAGTATGAGTAATTGCTAAACCTATATATATATATATTTTTTTTTTTTATATTGCCGGTTTAGGAGTTGTCATAACGGCACGACCCTTTCCGTTATAACCGCTTGCGAGTTCATTGAATGCGAGCGTATGTTCGCACCAAAAGCTCTAGAATTATGAGACTCGAGAAGGCTTAGTTGGTAAGACGATGGACACCCTCCATGGATTGCCAATTTCAAATCGTGGACGGCTTGACTAATAAATTACCAGGAGCCTCCGAATACTAAGGCTAGCATATAGATAGTATGATAATTTGCGTGTGGATACCCAAGTATCCCTTCCACCGTTCCCTGAAGAGACTCATGGTGGCTTCCATCCTAGATGAAAGAGCCTATGGTGGGTGCTTTCCTCGCTTGCCGAAGTAGTAAGCTCGCGTGGATGGACTGTCTTCGACGCACGCTGGGCTGTTTTTGCGAGCAGCGAGATGGTCTGCACAGACGACGTGACATTAAATGGGTTCCCAAAGAAGAACGCTCGAAGCCTGCTAAGGATGAAGCCTCCATTTGTAGCCAACGGGTCTGCTTAGAGGAACGATGGTCAACGACCTTGACAAAGAGCGTGAGATAATGACTGCGTCAATTGGTATTCGCTGGCTGCACTCGCTGGAAAAATGCCCGAGACTAATATTCTGGAGGGCCTAATTCTTCCCACCATGGTGAGCCACTAAAAAAAGGGCTACGCTTCAAAGTAACGGCACTTCCGCCATATTGGTGCTTAAAATCACGGTGACCAGTTATTAGAAACTCAACTAAATTCGCGGCAAACAGTTTTCCGTCCCCCAGAAACGCTCAGAGAGTTCGCGGCAAAGCACGACGACGTTGCCTGAGTTTCCCAACACCGCATCTTGAGATGAGGGAGCTGCATTTTCAAATCGTAACGACTGCCAATTGCAACCGTCTTGCGCTGAGCACGAAAATGGCGGCGCGCCCACAAGGAAAAAGACCAAGGAATGGAGTGCCTATACTCTAAGATTGTTTACTGTCCCTGTACTCGCATTCACCTAAAAAAACCGCAAAAAAAGTCCAGTTTTACGCGGAACATTACCAATTTCCCACTTAATGTGTCGAATTAAGACATATGTCGGTGCATCCTAGATTAGCTTTACGTTATCCTATCAAGACGTACACACGTTTCAAACGTTAAAAGTATCGTTGCTTCCTGCGACAATCAAATCTTGTAGGAACTACTTTGCGCAGCGCATGAACACTACGCAAAACGTTACGTCGCATGACATGACGGGCTGCTTACCCTTCGCCGGACGCCGCAGTACAGCGGATCGTCGGGACCCGGGAAGAGGCTGATGCGCAGCGAGGTGTTCTTTGCCCCGGAGCCGTACGTGATGCAGGGGTCCCTGCGCAACTCCTTGGGGCCCCTGGGGTCGCTCGTGTCCCTCGTGTGGAGGATCCCGTCGAACGGCTGCTCCGTCAGCACCGAGATCACCATGAAGCCCTTGTCGCAGTTGGCCGTCACTGCGGGGCCGCGGAAACAGAGAGAGACAGAGTCCGTATCATCGTGCACGGAGAGAAATGGAGGAAGAGGAGGTAGAGCTCGCTTTGCGCCTACACACTAATTCCACCAATCGGAGCTCCGCGCGCTGACGTCACCGCGGGCTCTCGTTTCCTCCTCTCCCTCAGTGTCTCGCCGTATAAGCATTTTACCCGAAGCGACGCGAATCTCTCAAGTGAAATAATACCCCGCGTGCTCCATCTTTGCCGGGTTTTTTTTTCCCCCAGCAGAGGCCACGTCAGGCAACTCTAGGACATCAACCTAAACAGTCATCAACCACCGGCAGAAGACGATTGTCCCAAAGAAAAACATGTATCGGTTTGTATTGGCGCCTCTTCAGTTTAAAGCGGGCCTCGTACGCAAACAGCAACTACAATAAGGTGAACGACATAGGTAAAATAAGACATCTTGCAGTTATGCCAGCAGGAAAGGTTCTCACTCTCTTTTAAAACAAGAAAAAAAGAGAGAAAAAAAAAAAAAAAGAGCCACGGCAAAAGAAAAAGAAACGAAGAAAGTGGGATACAAAAGCCTGCACGTAGCACGTCAGAGATTTTTCTGCGGTCGAAAATTTCTCGAAGGAGGTATAAACACGTCGGTCTGGAAAGAGAAGTGTTTCGAGGCCGAGGTGACACTGACCGCGTTTCGTGGAGCGTTGTTCCTCTGTTTATTTTATTTTCCTGTTTTTCGCCCACTCGATTTTATTTCTTCAATGCTGGCCGAGTCGTATTAATACGTACTACAAATAATACGCGTGCACAAAAAAAAAAAAAAAAAAAGCTTTCGCGTGCGAGCGAGAAAAAAAAAATAGAAAATTGTGGCGATTGTGTACAATTGAGGCCGTATGGGCTTCTTAAATCACTTCTAATTCTTGTTTGAAAGTTTTCCTTTCCCACAAAAGGAACGACCAACCAACACTGCTTGCCGATACAACAAAACGCATTTGTTGGCGACCCTAACTATATTTAACAGAACCGTACGCTCACAAGCACGTTTTTGTTCGTCGCCAACTAGTCGCACTCAAGCAATTAAAAAAACAAATGTCGTTAACAAGGTGAAATGTCTGGGAAGAGTGTCTGTCATTTAGTCATATGGTAGGACTATACTCGGCGAGAACTTTCTGAGGCTATGCACTTAAATTTCTCGCTTTTCAATACACACACACACAAAAAAAAGAGATCATACATAAAGTGGATTTCGAGTATTGGTAACCATATGCTTTATTTCACGAGCCACAGCGGAGACTACAAACCGTTCCAGTCAATCTTGTGCTCAAAAACATGCTACGTGACCTACTGATATGGCTCGGCGACGCACGCAGCGTTAAGGCACATGCTAGATTTGCAACGTTTGAATTGGCTGGGACGGGTTCTAGCTTCGGCGGTAATTCCTTTTAGGATGAAACGGGGCATAGTGGGTGCTTACCTTCCCACGCAACTTCACAGAACGAAATCGAAAGGCGCTAGTGTGTCGCTGCTTGATGGGCAGAGGACAGTGCTGTGTTCGCTTCAGTCGATGAACGGGAACAGAACCCCATTCCTCATTATGTATTCTCACTTTTGGAATGTTTTTTTTTTTTTTTTTTTTTTAAATACATATTCTACTAGGAAACCGCGTTATCATTACATTTCGAGAAATGTGACTTTCGGTTACATTACATTCATGCAGCTGAGTATCATGTCCAGAATGCACCTCAATGCTGGCTGCCTCGAGGTCTATGCCCACTATCCTCGCAATCGGAGCCAATCGGAGCTCGACGTTCCGACGTCACGGCAACCCCCCGCGCAAGAAGCAGACGATGGAACTTGCGCTCCGTATAGTTTCAGTTGTCCCGCTTCCAGCGTGAGCTTGCTACCTTCGATGGTGATTCGGCGTCTCGTGAGCCTCGAGCATGCACGCGCAGCCAGAGCACGGTGGAAGGCAACGAGCGCACGCTGGAGGCTGGGCGTTCGATAAAGACGCCGGGCCCTTTTCATCTTTTCAAAGCGTATCGACAAAAAGTAGAAAAAAAAAAAAAAAGCCGTATTTTGGGGAACATTATACTGTCGAGAATATGTCGCGAATCCTGAAAAATAAGCAGGTGGTTTTTTGAAGGCAACTTTGTTTACTCGTGACTGACATTTGAAAAAAAAAAGTAGAAAGCTAGCGCACAAATTAATTTTCAATATTTACATGATTAAAAACAAAACAAAAAGCTTCCTTACTGCATCATAGGAAAGTAACGTTCCTTCAAGTTGCTTTTATGTGAAACAAATGTAAGTAGTCTACGTTTCAATGTACTACCGATTGAAAAAAAAAAAAATAATGGTGATATTTTTTGTCTTTTTTAAAGCGCGTAAGAATTGGTTCTTTTTTGTTTTTTTGTTTTAGCTTTGCTTTGCGCACAGTTGACTCGGGGTCACGAGTACCCAGCCTCAGGTGTTTTAACGAGATAAAAAGTTAGTGCTCGAATTGCATACCGACGCTAACCTACATTATGCGCACCGATGATGATAACTCGCGACGATAACTGCATTATGAATATAAACTCCCATAGTCACCGAAAACCTGCTCGAAATTATAGGGTGTGCCTCTTTCGACTTCCCAGGCCCGTGCAATGTTGTTTAGTAGCGCGTTATGTTCAGTCGCACGATAGTGGTGGCTCAGACGAATGCTCAAGCACCATTTAGGGGAGAGAGTTCGGGTTTATATGTCCGTGTGTTAGAATTAAACACACTTGGATCACTTATACGGATGCACTCTTCGTGTGGGATGTGGTCTCTGGGGTCAGCCTGTTCTCGTTTTCGGTTCTTAAATCAAACTGCCGAAGGCAATTATTTTATCATATAGTAATGAACAGGCACCTACGTTTTTTTTTTTTTTTTTCATAAATTAGTCTGAGAGGGATTATGCATGTACGTTTCGTATCTATGTTTTATCGCAATAAAATGCAATCAACTAAAATCTTCACCCGTATGAGGCAGCCTTAAAGGGACGCTAATCTAATAAAAACAATTCTTTTTATGGCGCAGTATTTACGCCTCAATTCCTTTGGATTAAGAACTACTCCCAAACTTGCTTTTATTTCATGACGTCGCGACCCCGAAACAGAAACACGTTTCGGAATCGCTTTAATGGGGACTTTTAGAAAACCATTACCGTGTTCCGCAAACTGCATTACCGGAGCCTTTAAATCATGCTTTTAAACGCGCTCCCCGCGGTCAAGGTATCACCCGGGCATGCGCTTAAAAGCATGCTTCAAAGGCCGGTAGTACGGTACGCAGAACACCGTAACGGTTTGCTAAAAATCCGTTTGAAGTCTCACACCGTAAATATTTTGCTTCGGATTTTTTTTTTTTTTTTTTAGGTACGACTTTTATTTGGGCAATTTCAAGATATGTTTTTTTTTTATTGTAATTTTGTGTGCTTTTTTTTTTTTTTGTACGTAACAAACTAAAACGAAATGTTTGAGCTAGTAATAACGTTTCACGTATCTGCTCACCTACTTTTGAGAAATTGAACCGCTACACCATCAAAACTTACCAGTTGGCGAAAATTCGGGTTCCACTTCTTGCTGACCCTTTTGTCCCTGCAAGGAAAAACAAAACAAAAGTGAACAACGGCTCCAATTTGAGGCGCGAGATAATTGGCACGTACGCTACTTGCTTCGCGACTATTGTTAACGGGAAAAAAAGTATTCACTTATTAGCACCACAAACACGGGTCTCCGCCCTCATAACTATGTCTACGACCGGACCGGCAAGAAAACAATCCCAAAGCGCACAAGGTGCGCGTACGACGGCTGCCCTTTCGCTTTCTCTCTCCCCCTACCTTTCCTTCTCTCTCTCTTCCCTATTATTTTAAATGCCGTCCTCATTCTTTCGTCGTAGTAATCGTCGTCGTAGTAACGCGCCCCACCCCCACAGTCCTTATCATATCTACGTGTCGGCCCCGAGCGGGTCGTTCAAGGTCACCGCGCTTATAACGCGCCGATATAAGGGCAGACTTATAATTAGGCCGTCGGGGCTCAATGATATATCGTAGGTGTATACCTGTCTGCGCATGCGCACGCAGACGCGCGGGAACGACGCGCAAGTAAAACGTGATTATCGCGCGTGAAGTGAAAAGAAATGAAACGAAGGATAAAAAGCAAAGGAACAGACGAGGAAGGAGAGGGGGGGAGGAAGATTTTTTTTAAAGAGGGGGGAGGGGAGGGGGCACCGTAATTGGTGCCCAACGTGGCGCGCCGCCGCACCTACTACGAATTTCTGTATTCGCCGCCAAACAAAAAGTACGGGAGTTGTAATTATTTTTTTCCGGGATGCCTGGAACTTTCGGCAGCTTTACGTAAAACAAAAATGAGTTCGAAAGAAAACAAAACAAAACAAAAAAAAAAGAATTTGAAAGTGGTTTTGTCTGCTGCTAAAACTGTGACGGCGAGGGAATATTGTTCACAATCCACACGCAGGAATGGCCGAAAACGTTCTTTTTACAAGGCGCGTAACTCATTTGACTTCCGGAATATGCGTCTCAACAAACTGAATCGGTTTCGACGATCACATATATCGTACAATGATCCGCTGGAAAAGGAGGATATTGCTATTTTGCCAGCAGTCACGTCAAGAAAAAAAAAAAAAAAACAAGACAAAAACAACAACAACAACAACGAAAAGAAAATTAGTGGGCTGAAGAGTTTTTGAGCCGCCATTGTATAGTTAAATCTTTGTAAAAGTCTTACTGGTTTTGACTGATTTTAACGAGCGCAGCGAGAGGTATTCCGTGTGGGGTTCACCGTGATATGTCTCGGAAAGTCGGTATGACGATAGGTCTGAGTGTTATGGCCACAGTCATCGGAATGATACCAATTGATCTTATCTCTTCGGCACTTTGTAGTTCTGGAAGTGTCGGCGTAATTTAAAGCTGCCGAGCTCTCCAAACCACCATGTATTCGCTGGCTTTTCCCCTGTCCGATCATGGAAGGTTACTGTCAGCGCTCGCACATCAGCAGTCGAAGCGTACACCCATTTTAAGGCCCCTACGCACATTTGCGTTTGAGAGCGTTCGAGTGCGTTTGACTGCGTTGCGTCGAGAAACGAAAGCGAGTCACCGGCACATCTGTGCTTCGTATGAAGCGTGGAATCCAATTCTAGGAATAGCTTGGCACGCAGCTTAAGATGCAGGGATGTCCTGGTTTCTCGCAGCCGCAACGCAGTCAAACGCAACTGTGCGTAGGGGACCTTATACATTTCATAACAGTTCGAAAGTCGAAGTACCCGCCGTAGGTACGGGCTGTTGCGGAATTCAGCCTAGTCAGCGCAAAAGGCGACCGGTGACCGGTCTGAAACTCCCAGCGAGTTATGCACTGGTCCCACGAAAGCGACAAACAGAAACAACTGGCACCGACAAGCCGCACACACGTGCAGCATGCACGCGGTACCTTTTGCAGGCTTGCATGTCTCTTGTTATAGCCTCTCAAATCACGAAAGACCCTGGTTTCAGGCTTGTCGTTGTCTTTTGTTTCTGTATGTCGCTCTAGTGGGACACGGGCATAAGGGCACTGCAGGATCGTGGGATAGCACCATTGCCTTCCCTGCCTATACTAGCCGGACACAAACAGATACTAACATACAGACCACCAAACCTTGCAAGATGATTGGATGATCGATCTAGGTTGTCATAGCAGTCACCATTTCGGTGCATTCAAATCTTCGAAAGGGTCCTTCTGAACCAGTCGCACCAAGATCGCTATGGAACATCATCGCACGGAAAACGTTCCTTGCCAATACAATCGTCTTCGGCGCTGTGCATGCAATCCACTTAGCTATCAGTCTTGCTCCCCTCCCAAGATATCTTACACTTGTATTGTTTTTCTTGCGTATATTTAAAAATAAGAATATATATATTTTTTTTCATGCCGCCAAGCACCGGTGCCGCATGTGGTGACGGTGCCAAGATACGCGCTTGTTTCGTCGGTCTGAGGATAACGAAATTTCGGTATTCAAGAAACGTCCCTACCCGCCACCAGCGAATTTACATCGGCTTACCAAGAATGGAGAGGTCGAGGAAAAATTGCGCATTTTATGAACCAAAATGGCAACCGTACGGGGAGTTTCTTGGCGCTACATTTCCACGATCCAGTGGCATTAGAAGGACTCGGGTCTTATAAAGCATAGGCATGGTCAAGCAAATAAAGGGTTAAAAAAAGTTTTAAGGTTAATTTTTCTTTCAAATACTTTGATTATGTCGATTGGATGAATCGATCCGATCGACATAATAGCTGCATTGCATCAATCGACCCAATGAAGTTATTTTTATTGGGACATCCTAGCCACATCAAGTAAGTCAAAAGCCTGACACTAGCAATTCAGTCATTGAAAGATTGTTTTATGCCACCGCCATAGGTAAGTAATCGGGTTCGCGTAGCACGGGTGCAGATGACTGGTGGGCATCTAACGCGCATCGCTCAGTGGCGATCGCAAGGGGGGATGCCGGTACTGGAAGAGGCAGGAGTTAGAATTCAACTCATAATCATTGCGTCTGCTGCGCGCGAGCAGCTCGTTCCAACTGCTGTTAAGCAAGCCGTCACATGCATACACGTTACTAAAAAAAAGAAAGAGTAACAAAGTATTGTTGCTTCTTTCTTCCTCAAATGCTCACTGGGTACATTATTGGTTACCGGGTCTCAAACTGATTATTTTTTAACGCAAGATTAACTTTTGTCGACACGAAGCGAGAAAATGCGGATGCGGTAAGACATTCAAACAATTTGCTAAATAATCTACCAAAAAAAAAAAAAGTTGTATACCTTGTTTGTATTTGAGCCCACTAACTGTAACTATTAGGAGCTTTGGGACTTAGTGAATGATAAGCAATGAGCGCTACAGTGTACTGTCCATCCTTGTGGGAGTCCGTCCTTCTTGGTCTTCTGAATTCACGCAAGTACAGAGGGAGTTCCCGAATGGGGACCAAATTAATCGAGAGTTTTTGTAGATCGCTCGGATAACTCCGATAACGACACCCGATACTCCGGCGCCGTTGTTGCGCGTGCATATAGTATCGTTATCGGGGACATCGGAGGTATCGGAACGATCTAATAAAACTCTCTGATATTGTGAGTCCCCCCCCCCCCCCCCCCCCCCAAGAAAAAAATGATAACAAAAATAGTAATCAAATATTTTTTTTTTTTGTTATTAGATCAAAAAAACAACTGAACACAGTTATCCACTCACGGTTCCCTTAGCGTATAGTAACTTCGTTACCAAAGAAATCAATCCGTAAACGTTTCATTACCGGGAAAAATCGTTTAGCCTATTAGTAACTAACTACTAACTATAGAAACTATAGTAACGATTAACTATTGGTAACAGTAACTCGTTACTGAAAAAGTAAGGAGTTATAAGTAACGCTTCTTAATCTGCCCAATACCACCGCGCACCGTTAGGGGCACAGGCCCTTCTCCTGAACAGCCCGTAGATTGTGCCCATTTAAGCGCTATACAAAATCAACGGCGCGTGGGAAAATGCGAAGCCTGCGATGACGAGCTGTCTCGGCTCCACATAAATAGCTACCCGTTCGAGTCGCTCTTCTCGACACGATAACAATCAGCGTGCTCTCGAGGCCAGTGGAGAAGTAAGAGTGACGGGGGATGAAATGAGTTGCCTGGAGGGGGTTCCACTTGTTTCAGACAAAACGAGGTGAGCACAACACGGACAGAAGAATAGCCTTTTTTTTTTTTTCTCCGTGACAAGGTCGCGCAAGAATAAAAACCACACGGTTCTCTTTGGGACCGTGTCTCGAGGCGGTTTGCCAAAACACAGGCATCTCGGACGGTCATGCCCATAACTCGCAATTGACTCGGCCGGGCAGAACAAAAATGGCCGCGCCCGCCTCGCTTCCTCCTCCTACATCCGAAGGATGGAATGACTCTATAGGGAGAGAAAAAAACAACATCGAGGCTAATAAGAGAAGGGACTGGATAAAACGGAACGCCGATCTCGTTCACCTTGTCGCGAGCGCACGTCCTTCATCATACCTCTCTCGCTCTTTCCGTTTCTCTTTTAGTTCTCTTCCCTTTCCTTTCACTCTATCCGACAGTCTGCATCTTTCTTTTTATGGTGTCATCTTTCTCTCGCAGCGTTTCCTTTCAGTCGTTTTTTTCTTCTCGCGCATCGATGTCCTTCCGTTTCCGTTACATTCCTTTCATTTCGCGATGTTTTGTTTTTGTTTTTTCGAACTCTTTTTTTTTCTTTCTCTCTTTCTTTTTGTCGTTTGGTCTCTCTATTGTGCATTTAAAGCGTAGTGTAGCGTAATAGGAAATCGTAAGCGCCACGAACAATTGCGCGAGGGTCACGCAAGAAGATAATAATAATTGCGTCGTGTGTACGTTTATACAGCCGGAAGTTAGTCCCAATGAGCATCTGGTGTCTCAGCTGTACATTAGCAATTTAGTCAGTGCAGTACAACCGCTAGCCTGGGGTCTTTAACGTGCACCACGCCGTGGTGGTACACGTCCGCACGCCAACATAATAAGATATACCTTTAGGGGAGACCGGAGAACAATTTTTGTTCAAGCGTTCCTGACCTTGAATT